TTAAAAATCATCATAGAACTGCAAATTAAAAAATAAAAAAAAACTCCATTCAATGCAATGTGGAGTATTTTACTTTTCTGTGAGGAACAATGGCACTGAGAGATAAAAAGCTTATTGGCTGAATAAACCTCCTATTGAATCTTTTTAAAGACCTCTGGGGGGGGATCCATGTGCAAGCATTCATTTTTTTTTTTCTTTTTCTGAGATGAAGCAGTTTTCACGACGGTAATTACTGCAGCTTGGTTTCCAAGACGAGTCCAGGAAGACATTGCCTTAATGGTCAAAGGGAAATCAAATTAGCAGTAGTCGGTGAAGGCACAGTGGGCTTTGAAACCAGAAGGAACAAATCCTTTCACCTTTGTAATCCAAACATAAAGAAAATCTAAGCCAACTGTGCGTATCTACAGCCTATAATAAGCGCCTCTGATTAGTGCTTAATAACACAAATATTTGATGCACTGACTTCTGGCCGGCCTCCACAGACGAGCTCAGGAAAGTGTGGCTATATTAATCATCTTTTGTTCTTCAGCCTCAAAGGGCACCACCTGCGATCCTGGAGAACAGAAGGACCTGGAGTTTATCGCTGGTGTAAACAAAACCTCCAACAATATGGACGTAATGTATAAATATACCAGCGTGCACTACAAAGACAGGATAGTAAACAGGACGCATTATGGTAATATCTGATACAAATTGTGAATCGGATCTAGTAAAATCAAGCTATAACTGGAGCTGTAGCTTCCAATCGGGACGCTAAGGTCACGTCTCTGGTATGTTTTCGGGGGAAGTGTCTCGGAGCTGTTGGCAAACTGAGGCTGAGTTTACATGCCTCATATCATTTTTTACGCTGCGTCCTTTATGTTTAGACTCTGAATATTTAATGTGTGATTACTTTTAGCACAACAAAATAAATGACCAATAAAACCAAATGCTACGCTGTGAAATTTTACAGTCTGTAATTTACTACAGTTTTCTAAGAATTTCCTGGAAAACACTGTATAATCTGGTGCTTATTAAAGGTACAATGTCCTGGGACAAAACTTTATTCTACACTCATTAGCTGACTTTATAAGCATCAGATGATTTTGAGAGCAAGTTTCTTCAAACAAAACAGTCTATTAAAGGTGCATTACTTGATTTTCGTGGCCCTTCTGTTGCATTGAACTGCAGACATGATTGGCATTTGCAAAAACGGTTATCTACATTTTAATTCATGTAAAATTGTGGTTTCTAATTATGCACATAATGACAACAAACTGGTTGTCTTGTAAAGATATCTTAGTTTTTCTAACGTTTCCTAATATGTGGATATTTCATTTCTTTTTAACAAATGCTTTTTTTAAAAATCTGTTTTTGTAAATGGACTGTTATAATATGTTCACCTTCTCATGCTATATGGCAAAGGTGCTAATAAATAGTTTTGCAGATTGTAATTGTGCACTGATTGCACTGAAGTTGTTCTTCTGGCCTCCTGATTAATGAAAAGTTCAGAGGTCATCCCTCCTTTGGCTCCGTTTTTGGTCTCCATGGAAATATGTGTCTCTATAGCTGCTGAATGTTCACCAGTTTGTCACTAAATGCATCCGGTAAACCCACTGTACACTCCTATGTAGTGCAAGTAAAGTTGGCAGGTTTATAGGAACTTTTGAGCTGAAAAATGCCGACCAGTCGCTGCTGAAAACAAGGTTGATGAGGTCAGCGAGAATAAAAAGACGAACTGGATAAAAATGCTTCATAAAGCTCGCGGAGCTGTAGAGTTAGGGAATGATTCTCATGTGACTCCTTTCATATTTAGCAACATTATCAGTTCATTAGTTAGTATATAAATAGTGATTTGTGTGGCGCTGCAACGATTAGTCGACATAATCTATGAAGTCGATGCTGAAAATGTTCATGACATCAGCTGGCTCCTGTCACTGGTCAGTTATAGACGATGGTGTCAACTCAGTTAAATAAAGTTTCCAAAGGCCCAAGGCTGCAAGAGTATGGCAGCTCTCCAAGTTACCACAGAACAAGAGGTGGCTTGTAAACTGTTTGGATTGCAGATTGCAGCAGTACAGTACAATGCATGAACACCTGAAGAGAAAACTGAGGCCTTTTGCATCTGTTTGCTTCCCTCCTGCTCTCTGTGCTCACATATACTGACCTTTAATACAGCTGAATTTCCAATAAAGCTGTTGTTATTCACACATTTGTCTGAGTTAGCTGCTCTGCACACATAAAATCCTGATTTTCTGATTACAAACCCTACAAAGACTACTCATGGAATTCACGACATAAGTCAGAGAAAAATGATACAATAAAAAGAAAATTAGCTGCAGATGCTCATGTTGCACTACAGAAAGGTTTTAATAGAAACTTTGATTTCACTTAGAGTTGCACTACTGACCTAAATAATGACCTCTTGTATTTGATTTGTTTTCATCATATTGGAGTTACCTACAGTTTTGCCTTTTATTTACATTACATACTGTGCTGGCTTTTAGGATGTCATGCAAACTGCAGCAACATCTGAGACCTCGTGTCGCTGTGAGACTAAGATCGGGTCTGTTTGTCTGACGCGCAATTCAGTAATAATTCACTGAGATTATGAATAATATGTTTTGCCTTTTATTAAAGGAAAACAAGATCATTAACTCATATGCAAAACTCCAAATTAAAGTAATCGAGCAAAACAGCGATCAACTAAAAATACCCGGCTCACCTCCTCTCTCTTCCTCCGATGGTGACCAGGTGAGTATGTGAGCTTAAAGCCCCGCCCATCCACAGGAGCCACTATCCCCCTATCCAATGTGTCCAACAAAAACACATCATAACCAAAATAATAATCATCAGTCTGCCCTTTAACCTTAGAACAAATATAAAGATGTACTCATGGCTCCTACATAAATGATCAAAGTTAAATCAGTTTTCTATTTTAATAATTCAGATTAATTTGTAAAATAGATAATAAAAAATATATTTGCCTGTGGCAGGCCTAGCGTTTAGTTAAAAGTGCAGAAAAACAGCCAATTTAACTGTTTTTGGTGTTTTTAGGATTCGGGGGGTGTTCGGGGGGCTTCACCTCAACACGCCCTCGAACATCTCGGCTACGGCCCTGCATGTAACCAAACTGGACAACTACCTACAAATACTTGATTTAATTCCTTTTATTGGAAATTGTAAATATGCTCCAGATAAAATATGTGACAGATTTGCTGAGTGTAAGACTCTAACCTACATAGATATCTCTTATGAAACACAGCATGAGCTCAGTAAGTCATTCTGACCTCTATTCTGTCACATCCTCTGTTGTGAGAACACAGTTACATTATGTAACCAATGCATCACAAAATGACACCATGCAGGGATGAAAAAAAAAAAAACATTATATAAAAATAATCCTTCCTCAAACACTTCACACACACACACAAGAATATAAAATAAATCAGGTAAGATATATATTAACGCAACAATCCCCCAACGAGTGCGCCTCATCCAGCCTCATATCAAAGATACTTAACAGTACTGTAATCCCAGACTTTGATCACGTGTGCGCAAACTTGGCCAAATGGAAAGGCGAGTCTCGGTAGTACGCTTCCGACCGCCATTACATTACAATGCGTGGTGGGCTGGACGATCGTGCGCGGAGAAATGCTACAGCGCTACGCGTAAAACAAACACGGCACGGAGGGTGCGAATGACACATCCGAAAGGCTTCACTTTATTTTAGCAGCATAATAACGCGCTCAGAGGGATAAACAGCGACGGAAGGAGCCGCCTGCGGAGGGAAAATCATGCACATGTGTGAGGATTTAATTCAACAATCATTTCTCGACAAGCGGCAGGAGGAGACGCGTTTAAATGCCGAGCTGGTTTATTAGAGGAGAAGAAGGAGGAAAAAAAAAAAAAAAATCTGCAGCATGCAACATATTCTTTATGTCAGTGATCGGCGCCAGACAAGGACGGCGACTTTTGCTTGAACTGTGCGTTTTTTTTGTTTGTTTGACAAGAAAACAAAATCCTTCTCTGTTGTGTATTTTCGCTTTTGCGCAAAGATTGAGGATGTTGTGGCCGCGAGAGGACGTTTCGTAATGATATAAAAACTGAAAGGAAGGAAGGATTTTTTCAAGCCTCCGTCTACAGTCGCCTGCTTGTCGTTTTCCTGGTGGTGGAGTGTGAGAATAGTTTTTTTTTTCTCTCTTGTCTTTTGACTCATGATTCGGGGTTATAGTGGGGGAACCCAGCTCGACTTTGTCCGCCCTGCCACGGAGGAGCACCGGGAGGGGGGCTCTTTTTCTTTCTGTTTTTTTTTTTTTTTTTGCTTTTCTGTCTTTTTATTTTTTTTTGTCAGCGACCCCCTTTTCGTCTGCGGTCCGTTTAATTCAAGAGCAACAGAGGGATTAAACATTCCTGCTCGCAGCGCCTGTTTGTGCGAGACAGACTGGGTTACATTGTGAGAGGAACGGTTGTGGCAAGAAAGAAAAGGCTATAAATAGCGCATGCAATTCTCGAAAACTATCACAAGTGGTGCATCAGCTTGTGGAGCAGACGGAATCATCACATATCCTGCGCGTCTCGGCTTTAAGTTGATTTATTTGTTTTTTTAAATGCATGTATTTTCCAAAAGTTTGGACTCTTAATTGGACATTTTTTCTTGGAGAAGGGGGGCAGGCGGTCCTCGGGGTTTTTTTCCTCATGGATTTAATGATGAAACTATGTGCGGAAATTTTGGATCTTCCACTGGATTTGAAATGGATCTACGTTTCTGTACAGTGATCAGATTTGGATTGACCTGGATTGGAACAATGTTGTGATCATCCTCTTCCAAATACGCACGAACACGGGATTTTTTTTTTTTATCCAGCTTTTATGGATGCATATTCTTTCTGAATACGCCCATTCTCTCTAGTCTATTCTCCGGACCTCTGGTGGAGGTTAGAAAGCCCGCTTGTTTTGGAACAGATTTGTCAACCACCACCTCCTCCTCTCCCCCCCCACCACCACCCCTTTCCCCCCCACCTACCCCACCTACTACCTACCCCACCTCCCTGCTCCGGTGTTTGATACCCCGATGTAGGATTTCGACATGCCCTGCGCTGACGACCCCAAAGGAGGACGATTATGACTACAACGGCGAATTGGGTGGCTAACGGGGCAAGCCTTGAGGACTGCCACTCCAACATCTTCTCTCTGGTACAGTATGAATAAATCATGTCTCGCCACAGACAAGCCAAGCCAGGGCTGATCGACAAGTCATAAGACCGTGGGAGGCACGCGTAAATGTGTGCCTGGTGTACAAAGGTGAACCAATTGCTGATGTTGTTATTAGGCAATGATTAACACGGGGTTAGTGGTGCGGGAAGAAACACCATATTCCACCACTAAGCCCTGTGTTAGAATAAGACATCTCCAGTCCAGGAAGCTTTAAAAAACCCCAACCAACAAGAATAACTCCACTTTATTAGGCTGTCTGATTCCAATCCAAATCCCATAATGCTTTAAAATACACATTTCCAAACGCTTCCAAGTGTTTTTGGCATGCGTTTGCAGCTTTGGCATGTTTTTTTTTTGTGATAAACAATACATAAACACTCTTTTTTTTTTCTTCTCTCATCAGTTTTCTCTGGTCATTATCCTCCTCCCTCCTTTTTTAAATAATCATTTCACTGGAACTCGAGCAGGAACTCTTGTTGCATTGCCAAGCAACTAACTTGGAAAGACTGTTGCCAGAGAATAAAGGGGGGGTGGGAAAAAGAAAAAAGATGATGCTCTTATCTTGAGGAAATAATAGCTTAAAAAGAAAATTCTCACCAGGTCAAATATTGGAAGTGGATGTGAGCACAAAGGGAGCAGATTTGCAGGAGAGGGTTGATAATATAATCAAGCCTCACAGGAGCTTAAGATTTGAACAGACAACCAGCATGTATCAGGCACACAACGGAAACACTTGCTTTCACACTCGGAGCATGTGAGAAAAGGTGTTTTTTTGGCGCTACAGGCGGTATCATTTTTGCAGAACTCGCTGGTTTCTGAGACCGAGCGGCGTGTTTTCACAGTTTTCATCCTGCAATCAGCGAGTTAACTGTCTTACTACAACAGGCAGCCAAGTGGAAAGGCATGCGGTAGACTCCAGCTCGGGTGCGGGTTGCTGAGAACCACAACAACATAGGGGTCCTGAGGGCTTTTCAGGTGATCGTTGCAGGTTGTCGACCAGCGACGGCACCTTTCCTGCTCCACGTGTCGCACCGGGGCTACACATGAGTTTTGGATGATCTGGAGATAAACTCGCAGGAAAATTTCACATAATAATCACTTCTCGTGTATTCCAGTCATATCTGCGAGCGTGAAGGGAACAAGCAGGGATTCAGAGTGGCATCTTAAGCTTGAAATTCCGTGCATTGACACTGAAATAACATGCAACAGCTTCCCCGGCATCAGACGTGTTAAATTTTCTCCGCCTGACACAAAAGAAAACAGTGATTGCGTCCCTGTCACCGTCTCATCCGAGGCTATTCCCTTGTGGCAAGAAGAAGGAAGAAAAAAAAAAGCTGTTATTCACTCGCCGTGGCATTATTGGCCGTCGTGAACATCCCTTTCAAACTGAGGGAGAAAGAGACCATCCATCAGCTGGCTTGTTGAGAATATTTATGACTGGCTAGTGCCTCAGCGGTTACTCACTGGCAGGGCTCCTACAGAGAAGTCCAAGACAGGACAAAAAAAAAAAAAAACGCTAATGACACACCGAGTGTCCTGGTTAGAGGCCACGACAGAAACAAAAGAGGCAGACATGGGAGATCCTGATGTTGGCAAATGAGACAGATGTGCACAAAAGAAAACAAGAGGTAGAGATTGAAGCAGCTGTTGATTTCGCTGGAAGTCGGTGAACTGAATCGGAAAATGAACGATTCATTTGAATAATTGCGGTTATTATTTCCTGCAGGCACTTTGCCGTGTGTTTCCTCGCTTTAGCACCAGTCACATAATCAATTAGTCAATGGAGTGAAAGTCTTTGCTTTTATTAGTGGCAAAAGAAAATGCGTTATTGGCAACATGGAATTTGCCATTTGGAGCTCCATAAATGACAAGACGACAGGCTTTAAGGTGGGATATTCCCTAACCTTTCCCTCCAGGTTGTGTCGGCTGTGTTCTCAGATAAAGGTCTTGCGGCTAACCGGTGAGCGCTCCTGGTCTGACAGCCTGTTAAACAGCATTCCAGCGTGCATTAACCTCGTCCCTGGCGCTGATTTGCTGGCTGTTATTGCAACCTGCAGCAGTAAAAAAGTGCCTTTTAGAAAGCGTAAGTGGCCATACTGTGGGACTTTTATGGGGGCACAGCAGATTACTGTCATGCGCTCTGGCGAGATCGCCGCAATCACACAAACCCACAAAACAACTGTCTCGTGTGCTGGTGATCATCCATCTGTGACAGAAAGCAAACGAGACCCTTGTAAGTGGGAGAAAAGGAGCCGAGCTGGTGAGCTAAGTTGAAGTGGCAACGAAGGAGGGAAAGGGCGGAGGACGAGAGGAGAAACAGAGGAATGTTTTCAGCCGAAGCAGAGAGAGAGAGAGAGAGAGAAAGCGTGGCTGAAGGACTGCAGCAGAATCTGTTTTCATTTTAGGAAAGTATTATGACTGATGTGCATTTCCTGACTGCTAGCCTCAGCCTGTTTGAGAGAGAAACAGAGAGTGAAGGAGTGAGACGGAGCGAGGGAGAAAATTAAAGAGGGAGAACGTAATGAGAGAGAGAGAAAACAGTCATCTTTCTGTGGACTGGGCAGGTTCTTAAAGCACTGAGTCCCAGGCTGAATATGAAATGCAAGGAAGAGACAGTTAAGAGCCTCGCAACACAGGAAGCCTCAGTGTGTGTGTGTGTGTGTGTGTGTTTGTCCTGGGCATATTGTAAACCGTGCAGACTCAGGAGACGAACTTCAAACACCCATCATATTATACACACACACTGATGCATTCACAAACACGAGCACCGACACAAAGAGAGGCAAAAAAATAAACACCCACACAAACATATTGTATGTATCACAAATGCAACACACATGAAATCTCTCCCACCCACACTGGCATGCACACACACACACACACACCCGCATGTCTTATTCGCTTTTATTTGGCCTGCAAACACATCCCATGTCCCAAGCATGCAGGCTTGAACAAACATAGGTAGGATGCAGAGACCTTAATTAAAGGACTTCTCCTGTCCCCTCGACAGAGGCGCGTGGAGTGTAACACTGGTAATTAAGTGTCCTCAAGTAGAGGTCTAATGTGATCAACTAAGAGGTGCTCATTAGCCAAACTGTATTCCAATAGAGATCTTGCATGTATAATGATGATGCTACCGTCTGGTGTGGAAATAAAGTGCTAAGAGATGAGGCTCAGGGAATACCATTAACAGCGGTGTCTTGATTTATGGCAGGTGAGTGGCCGTGGCTTGTAAGAAGACGCGGGTAATCAGGAGTGGTGCCTTTTTAATATAGACTGTTTGCATTTCCTGGTTATTAATGGTGCTGGATATTGCGGGGATGCTTAGGGATGAGAGAGGAGCAACGGTTGGATCGAGTGTGTGTCATGGTCTGCCGGGCCAAACAATCGTTTAAGAGTTTCTGCAGAGCTGGGAGTCATTTTAAATTTTGTTATATTAGTGCGGATGCATTACCAGAAGGTAGAAAGCCAAGCATTAGTGTTTTTGATACCTTACGCACAGATTTAAAACATCCTCGTCTTTATTCTCTGTAAAGGAGGCCAAGTTTTAAGGTAAATTCTGCAGTGTTTGTAAATTAGGGTCTGAATGAGGGCAGAAGAATTTGTTAAAATATTGAAAATGAAATAAGAGCAATATTGAAATTGCAGTAGCTGCAGTTTCTGATAATAGTAAGATATGACATCACATAGCATTATATATGAAGCATTGTGGTGCTACAGATCTCCACTCATAAGCAAACATGCTCATTTGGTGCAGACTGCAGCAAAACATCATAATTTTAATGCAAAAATCAGAATTTTCCCTGTGACTTATATCTGTTAAAGTAATCTCAGTCTAAATTTTTTGGGTTTTGTTTTTGCACATTGGTTAGCTCCCCCTGGAATGATCAGTCAATGTTAAATAAATACTGGTAGATATACAGCAGATACATTTCCCCACAGTGACAGCTAAGTGTTTCTCCTTGCTAGCACGTCAGTATGGTGGTTTTTTTTAATACAACATATCATGAGCGAAATAAGCAATAAACAGCATTTCCATCTTGAAACTGCAGCGTACCAATGACAACCTCAAAACCACACATTTAGACCTCTGAAGTTTCATATGTCACAAATCTAAGGGACCAATCACTTCCCCTCAAACATGTATGAACAAATTACAGGAGACTTGCCATTGTAATTTTTGTAATAACAACTTGCCATTGTATAGCTTGCAGCACTTTTCTTACAGTGTTTGAGCATGGTTGTTGGTGAGCTGGTGTGCTGAGCTGCAAGGAGCGGTGAGGAAGAGAGGCAGGGACTTTATAGATCTGCCCATTCTCAAGGAAACACCTGTACAAGCTGTTTTAAGGCAGGAAGGGGTGATTTTATTTTCTTATTGTTTTAAAAAAGGTGTAAATATGTAATTTTACCTCATGGAAGTGAGTTTTTAGGGCTTAAAGCAGAAGAAATTTAATAAATGAAGACACATTTACATACAGAAATAGCAGCAACATGCGTCAGATCATTTAACACAGCGCTACTATTGCACTTTATTCTCAACTTTGTCAACTAAATGTATAAAATTCTAATTAAAAATCAAACTTCTAACATTTAAGTAACAATATCAGCCTAAAAAAATACCCAGCCTCTGTCAGGCTATCGTCTGAGAATAAATGAGTCCAGCTAATTAGCCAAAGTTTTCTTTGAAAGGATCCTGTAAGCCATGTTATGTATAGCTTCATAGAGAAGCTTAACACTGTAGTATTTAGCAGACATTATTCATACCAGATTAAATTAGTCTGAGCGTTTGACAGCTGTGGGTTTGTACATGTTTTGTAAGTGGAATTGTCTCAAATGGCAGTAAATGTGTTCAAAGAGGAAACAGGACCCAGGTCAAGGGTGTGGCTCACCAGTGTGTTTGAAATCATTTCTGACAACGATCTAAGTCTGCAGCACAAGGGCATGATTTAATATTTCATCCAGGCTTTGCTTACACATGC